AGATTTGTCAAAATCGGTCTATCCATATATGAGATATAAGCATTCTAGCTAACATCCCCTTCCTTTTCATATGCACATTGTATATATTTCGCTACATACAAACGATATATTTGCTATCAGCATCTACGTATCGGTCAAAATTGACCTTTTCGTCTATTTGTGATTTCGGCGGGATTAAAAATATTCGCTTTTAATGGAAATTTTAACTTTTATTTAACACAAATGTTATGGTCTATTTCACCCATTAAATATTACCCGAAGACCACCAAAATTGGAAGGCTTCTGCTCAGCCCTAAGCTCTAGCCCCATGCTAACTGCGACCTGTAGAGCAACTGCAAAATCAGGAAATTGTTCAGTTTTTGGTCCCTTTCAACCCTTAAATATTATGCGATTATCTCCAAAAGAAATAGGCTTCTATGCTAGCCCTAACACCACCATTCTGAATTTCGTGAAGATCGGACATTAATTGCGACCTGTAGAGTGATTACAAATTAACATGGACAGACGGACGGACGGACATAGATAGATAAATCGACTCAGCTCGGCGAGTTAGAAAGATCCATATATACTTTCCTATGTGGAAAACCAATATTTCGAGGTGTTACATAATTTTTGGCCCAATCAAACTTAAAATACCCCCAAGACATAATGTTGTAGGGTATAATTATCACATATACCTCATATAAAGTGGAGGAAGTAGTCGATATAGTCCAAGGCTGGCACTTCTCAATATTTATATCATATTTATTTAGGTCCGATATGAAATACACAATATTGGTCAATTCCTTCGGAATCTATTCCATAGAGTGTCAACAATTTGAATGATCATAACAGAAATCAAAATATATTAAAATAATCGAATATTGGCTGGAGGTATACATCTGCCGGCAAAAGCGACCTATATTTTCTAACTTGTTTTTGAACAAACTCCATTACGATAGTTTTTCGTCACTAAATGTCAAATAAATATGTGCCAAGTTATCGACCTTGACCACCAAAAGTTGTAACATAGTACATATTTATCTATTGTTTATGGCCAAAAATTAACTAGGGTTTTGTAGGGTTGAATATATTTTTTGCATTTAAAAAATACAACTCATATAACTTTCATCAAAGAAGATTTTTCCTCAAATTAAACCACAAGATTGTGGTTTGGTGTCATATTCCCCGGGCGGTACTTAAATACCATTTCACATTCGAAAACGGTGTATCACTCATACACACACTTACATATTTCAACTATTCGCCATTATTAACAATAAATGTTTAAACAATGAAACAGAAATTTGTATTGAATTTTAAAGTACTTTCTTGCTTGTTTTCCCACTTACCTCTAACACTCATTTTTAGGTTTCTCTTGCCTGCTGAACTGTCTTAATGATTAAATGTTCCGCGTGTCACTAGTTTGTTTTACTGCAAATGTTGTTTATTTATAAATAAATTGCTACACTCTGTCATTCCGATGCGACATTGAAATTCGTTGAAATATTGAATAACACATGAATTATTTGCGTATTTAAATTAGAGCATAAATAGCGAAAGTGAGGTGAAAATGTCGATTTTTTTTCTTTTCTTTGAAGAGGGAATGTATAGCAACAACGGGAATGATAGCAAAAAGCTGTAGATGGGCAATTTATTCATAAGAGCAGCATAAATATATAGATACTTGCTGACCCGGTCGGCGTTGCCGGGCCGTACTTTTAGACTTTAATGCATATATTTTAAAGCATAATAAATCATAGATCTGAATTTATAAATTTTGTTATAAATTTTGGTTTCCTCGAAATATTGGTTTCCCATATATGAAAGTATATATGGATCTTTTTAGCCGGCCGAGCTGAGTCTATCTATTGGAGATGCTCGCATAATATTTATGGGTTAAAATGGTCCAAAAACAGAAAAAATTCCTGATTTTGCAGTTGCTCTACAGGTCGCAATTATTGACCAATCGACGCGTAAGTTAGCATGAGGCTAGAGCTTAGAGCTAGACAGAAGCCTTCCAATTTTGATGGTCATCGGGTAATATTTAGTGGATGAAATAGACCATAACATTAGTGTTAAATAAAAGTCAAATTTTCCATGAAACCGCGAATATTATTAACCCCGGCGAAATCACAAATAGATGAACAGGTCAATTCTGACCGTTACGTAGATCGGATATATATAACGAAATATATACAATGTGTAAATAAAAAATAAGAAATGTTAGCTAGAATGCCTACATCTCTAGAATGGCTGGACCCGTTTTTACCATTTTTTATTAATTCAGGATGCCCTCTTTGCATTAAAGTATAAAATCGCATAAAAAGATGCCAATAATGATATCAATATAGATTTTGTAGTATTTTATGACATTTTTTTATTTTTTTTCCTATTTTTTATCGCATGCGATTTTTTCAATTTGACTTAAAATATTGAAGTGTATACTCCGTAATCTTTTTTTCACCTTACAACACAGGTTGGGGATATTATATACAGATTGCAATTATCGTCCTATCCTCACGAAATTTTCACAAGGGTAGGGTTAGGCTCAGAACGGCTGGTCCTATTGTTTTCAAAGATGGGGTTGAAATGGACCAACAACTACAAATGTTCCTGATTTGTACCCAAACCCAAATGACACAAAATCTCGCATGAAGTTAGAGTTTAGGACAGCGGGTAGAATGGACCACTACGTTTGTGTGAAAAAAATACCAGCATTACTTAATGGCGATATCCGAAATACACAAAAGGTGAACTTCTGGCATTGTTATGCTCATTTCTTAGTATATTATAACGAATATAATTTATAGATGAGACTAAATTTCGAGATACTGAGGGGCCTTTTGCATTTGGAGATGATCGCAAAATAAATAGGGGTTCAAATTAATTGAAATTGTAACCAATCGACACGGAATTTTGCATGAGAAGAGAGTTGAGGACAGGGAAGAAGTCTAGCATTTTGGATGACCATTGGATTACATTTAGCTGTAAAATAGACCTCAACAACTAATAGCACGACGGAGTGCGTAAATATTGGGCAAATGTCTCTTGTCAAAAAGCTAAGGGTAATATCTGGGCATTGCTCCGTAACATAATTTCAAAAGCGCAATCTTCCAAAACGGATTTCGACATAAGAGGGCTTCAAACATATTGCAGTTTTTAGAGTATCACATGGTCGGCTCCGCACGACTATAGCCTTTACTTACTTGTTCTTATATTTTATTGAATGAAAACAAAAAATATCGAAAATAGCAGCAAATTTTAGAATGAGTTTAGACATGTTCGAATTGGTCACCTTTTGCACGAATTATGGCCTTCAAACGGCCAATGAAACCGTCACACGCTTCCCGAATGTTGCTCTACGGTATTTTGGTCCATTCCCGGCGAAGCGCTTGCTTGAAGTGATCGACACTTTGGTATTTTTTAGAGCCAACCTCGCTTTCCAAAATACTCCAAACACAATAGTCCAACGGATTGGTATCCGAGATTTTGGTGGCCATTGTGCGCTGGAAATAAAGCGAGGAACCTCATTTTGTAACCATTCTTGGGTGGGGCGTGCTGAGTGTGATGGTTCTGAGTCCTGTTGAAATGTCCAAGGTCTGCGGCCAAAATGTTCGTATGCCCAAGGCTTTAATACACCCTCCAGAATATTTTCGCGATAATATTCGGAATTTATACTGATGTCACGGTTGATTAATTCGAGCGGAGAGCGACCATCCGATGTTATGGCGGCCCACACCATCACCATCACCATGGCCGGCGCTTGAGTTATGGTGGCCAACCGAAGGTGCACATTTTCAAACTGTTGGACAACGAATGTTTTCTCATCGGAGAAAACCAAATTCGGCAGTTCACCACTTTCGGTCAAGCGAAGCAACTCTTTAGCTCCTTTGAGTCTATTTTCTTTCTGATGGGGTGTAAGTTCTTGCACTTTTTGGAATTCCAATGGCTTTACCTCGACCTAATTTTTCAATATTTGCCGAATGGAATATTGCGATATGTTCAGCTCTCGAGCCATTTTTCGGCCACTGCGACGCGGGTTTCGACAAAGTCGCTTCCTTACTTTTCGGCTACGCTACCAGTATCACGGTGGTACTAGACACAAAAGATTTATTCACATTTAAATGCTGGAGTGCTCTAACGATAGCAACTTGTGGTTTTCCAGCCAAATATAAAGAAATCACACTATCACGCTTGAATTCAATCACAATTAACTTTTTTTTGGAAAATTCTCACAAAAATGCTTTTGTATGCTTGTAAACAATATAATGAGCTGTCACTGAAATAATTTTAACAGCTGTCGGACGAGTGGCTTAGATATGACAGCAGTCTGAATTTGGTTGCTTTTTTTTCATCTCACACTGTAGATGGGGAAATTATTCATAAGAGCAGAGCAGGGCATATATATATAAATAATGGCTCTTCTAATTAAAAAATGCCCAATACGATTGAAAACAAAACATTTGAATTCTAAAACTGATAAAAGTGCCATATTATCCTGGAAAGATATCTTAGAAAGATCTACGAAATTTGTCAAAGGCATTCGAAAGTATTGTGAAGGGATCAATGTGGTCAAAAACTTGATAAATTTGAAGCCAACATTAAATGTCTACCTTTACAAAGTACAATTTTCTTTCCCATATCTATTATTTCCTATTCTCTGGACCGACTACATTATTATAATATAATTATTTGATATATTCCAGAACTTCAAGAATGTAAAAATGTTTACTACGATAACCGATTATCTCTCAATGACATCGAAAAAAATTACAAAACAAAGGGATTAATGCAGGTTATGGAAGAGAACAATTATTTTACTTTTAAAATGAATTTGCCTGTTGCACAAACTCAAAATAATGCAACAGACAAATATTCGGTGATTTTTCTCTCGTGATTGTGAAACCTATACCTAAGTATAATTGTGGTTTGAATTATGTACATGCCTATATTCTAAAGAATTATAGCAATACAATATTAAATTCGAATATTATTTTTATTTATTGCCCTTTTATAACTAAATAAAATTGGCGGAAGATATCCAAGTCCTTTACACTCCCACAAATGTTCCTTCGAAAAATGGTATAAAATCATCATTTATTATGGCATAATAGAATGGATGATTGGCATTGAAATCAAATATCGGCAAAGAGGAACGCAGATAGACATCAGCAGCTATAAAAACAAGGCAATATGTTTGGTATAATATATATTTTCAGGGTTAAAAATTATTATTAATTACCTGCCACGGCAGCAGCCTTTGTACCCTCCTCATTGACTTCAATTGAAGCTTGATGGATTACCTCGGAAAGTGCCAGAGGTCCTGGCGACTTTAACATGTTTCCAAATTCGCCGCTGGAAAACATTTTCTCCATACCCATCTGTAATGGAAATATTTTTATAGTAACACTGTGAGACAATTTTATGTTTTCAATAATAAAAAATGCAGCAGCATTGTTAAAAGGTCAAAAATCGGGCGAGGCCGACTATATGATACCCTACACCACAATTCATAATAGAAAGCTACCCGAATTTATGTAAGGTATATCATACCAAACTTTGTTAAATCGATTTAGATTTCTACGAATTTTGATTGAGGCTATAGAGTGCATGATATGACACCGGGAAGTATTATATTAAAGCAAGTAAAAAAGCAGTAAGTTCGGCCGGGCCGATCTTTGACTATCCTTCACCATTTGGAATAAATTTGAAAATTAAAAATACCGAATAAAGCCCTTATGTTGGGGTCTATACGAAGACGTGTACCTGCATAGGCAACTCTTGTCATAAACCATTACAATATTCAAACACGAAACTTGAAAGAAAAAATCGTCCGAATTATGCAGGTAAAATCATAAAAATACTGAATATAGGGAGGTACGGTTATATCGGGGCTCTACGAAGCCATGGACCTGCTTAGGAAATTTTCTTTCACAGGCTGTAGTACCTATTAGAAACTTCCTATACGTAATTTCAAACAATTTCGGTGAATATTTTATCTAAAATCTTCAAAATACCGAGGATAGGGAGGTGGGGCCTATACGAAGACCTGCGATGAATAATGTTGCTAAAATCATCAAAGTACTAAATATTGGGAGGTACCGTTATATGGAGGCTGCACGAAGACGAGGGGCCGGCAAAAGCAATTTTTTGTCATAAGCTGTAGTACCCATTACGAATTCTAAATACGAAATTTGAGACAACTTCGGTGAAAATTGTCGTCAAAATATCGAATATCGGCAGGTACCGTTGTAGGTGAGCTATACGATATCGCGGACCTATATAGACATTTCTCTTCCAAGAGGCGAAGAGCTATGACAGAACTTCTAACATGGATTTCTAGACATTTCCATTAAAAAATGTAGCTAAAATCATTAATATACCGAATGTAGGGAGGTACTGCTAAATGGGAGATATACGATATAGTAAACCTATATAGACAATAGTCTTACAGGGGGTAAAGTACTCAGAAGGAATTCATTTTGTGAATTTTCAGACATTTTAATTGAAAAATTTGGCTAAAATAAAAAAATAAAAACTTGTAGAGTGCATATTACGCATGTTAAACATAGTATGGGAGCTATAGCTATATCTGAACCGATTTTCACTAAATTTGAAGTTCTTGATTCTAGAATGAATTCGGTAAGGTGTGCCAAAATACAGGTCATTTGGACTTATATTAGCCATTTTGTGCACAATTAACCCGAAATCGGTTGAAGCTGTATATGGGAGCTATATCTAAATCTGATCCGATTATCACCAATTTGGTCGTCTTTGGACCAAACAAATATTGTTTGGAAAATTTCATCCCGATCCGGCAGTAATTTTGTTCAAAAAAATAAATGGACAGTCGGACGCACAGACATCCAAAAATCAACCCTGGCAGTAATTCTATGAAGATTCTCAAAAGTAATTATGGGTCTACTTCGCTTCCTTCTCCATCAGACATTAACCAACCGACTTTAACCAAATTTAATATACTTTCTTCTAGGCTCAATTCGTTCGCAAAATGTCATACCTGCAATAAATTCGTAGTTAGTCTATGAAAATTCATGGACAGACGGACGAAAGAACGGACGGACATCCATAAATCGACTCATAAAGTGATTCTATGAGGACCCTCAAAAGAAACTATGGATCTACCTCGTTTTCTACTTCACGTTACATACAAATGCGCAAAGATATAAAACCGTGAGACCACAGTGTGTTGTAGGGTATAAATAGAAGGCAAGTGTATGGGCATGATTAAAGTTTATATCTCAAAGTAACCTAAAGACAAAAGAATGGTTTGAGATTTTTTTTAAACACCATTGGAACCTTTGCTCTACTTCCTGAATCTGCAGAATTTTGCCCGTAATAATTATTTGAATTTCATAGTGTAATTATAGTCTCATTAATACCATGCTTACCTTTTTGAGAACATCGCTTAGCTTGATCTTAAATTCAGCTTTGAATTTCGGCAAATGTACATCTAGGCTCATCGAATATTTGACATTTCTGGAAATTATGTCGGCTAATTTCAAATTTGTTAATTTCTTTAAAATTTTCGATAGCCCATCAATGGCATTGGGAAGTATGATCAACATCGATAGATTCGAATCTTTGTAGGGCAAGAGCAATGCCGATGATTCCAGTTCATCAATGAAACCAAATTTAAATTGCGATCGTACTTTCATCATTTGCACTTTTGTAAAATGTTTTGAATCCATGTAGAAATAATTCTCTGTGGTTGATTCCTGAGGAAATGCTGTGGCCCATTTGCCTTTGAAATGAATTGCACTTAAAATATACAATTTGGTAAATGGGGTGATATTGTCCTCGGATATTAGGTTTTCAATCATATTATCTGTTTTCGAGGCAATCCAATCGTTAATGATTTTTGTGGCATTTTTCGTTTTTGTGAAATCTATATTTTCAGCTGTTGTATAGAAATTTTGGGAGAGCAGATCATTGTAATTTTTATTAAGTTCTTCATTTTGCTTGACATAGATTTTATTGGCAATTTTCAATGTCACTCCTTGTTGATATGTGGCCAATAATGTATGGTAGTTGGAGGCAAGATTTTGAATATTCATATCGGGAAAATTAAGACCCCTTTCCAATTCTTGGGCGGTTTTGCCTTCAGCACCCAATCGCAGCATTGCTAAACAGGCCTGAATGGCAAAGGGAGATAAGATATGATTTTCTTGCTCATTTCTTGATAGCTGTATTTCATTGAAAATTTTCCTGCCAAATTGTGATAGGGCAGTTTTGAAGGTAGTATTGGAATGTGTGCTCATTGGAGTAGGCCAGCTTATGGCCAAAACAGCAACAAATAATGGAATCTTAACTGCAAACAAATGTTTTTTTTTTAATTCCCGTTTTGAATACGATATATTTTTTTGTGGTTACCTACTAATTGACTTACCCCACATGTTGCTTTTTCAGTTGAGAAACTCAAAATATCTCTCTCAAATTGATTAATTGCGAAGAATATCGTTTATGACAGTCATCATTTTTTGTTGTACAGTCAAACTATGTTAAAAAGATTTCGACCTTTTAAAATGGTCAAAATCAAAATCAAGAGGAATTCTTATCTAGTGGAAAGTATATCTTTTATAACCTCCACCATACAAAGTAGAAGGGTATATTAAGTTCATCATTCCGTTTGTAACTTATCGAAATAATAATTTTGGACATAACAAAGGTATATATTCTTGATCAGCGTAAAATTCTAAGACTATTTAGCCCTGTCCGTCCGTCCGTCGGTTGTAATCGCGCTACAGTCAAAACGAATTAAGATAGGAAAGTAAAATTTTGCACAGATCTGTCTTTTGTCTGTCAGGCAGGTCAAGTTCGAAGATGGCCTATATCGGTCAACGATATCGTATAGCCCACATATAACGGTACCCTCCGATATCCGGCATTGGGATGATTTTACCCACATTTTTAAATGTAATTGTCTGAAATTCTACACAAGGAGTTCTTTATGAGTACTTTACCCCCTGAAGGATAATTGTCTTTAAAGGTCCACGATATCGTATAGCACGCATATAACAAAAAAACACACCCCCCCATTATTCGGTATTTCGATGATTTTTTCATGGAGTTGTCTAAAAAAAACTACACAAGGAGTTCGTTGTGACTACTTTATCCCCTGAAAGAGAATTATATATATCGGTCCAGGACATCGCATAGCCCCCCATAAAGCGCTACCACCCGATATTCGGTATTTTGATGATTTTAGCCACATTTTTCAATGGAATAGTCTGAAATTCTACGGAAGGAGTTCCTTGTGAGTAATTTATCCCCTAGAAGAGAAGAATTGTTTATATAGGTCTACGATATCGTATAGCCCCTATATAACAGAACCCCCTGATATTCAGTATTTTAACGATTTAAGCCACATTTTCAATGGAATTGTTCGAAAATTCTCACAAGAAGTTCATTGTGACTATTTCACCCCCTCGAAGAGAATTATCTATATCGGTTCAGGATATCGTATAGTCCCCCGATATTCGGTATTTTGATGATTTTAGCCACATTTTTAAAGAAATTGTTCAGTATAGCGCCCATATAACGGTACCCCCAGATAGACGGTATTTTCATAATTTTTGCGGCATTTTTCACCGGAGTTGTTTCAAATTTCTTATATAAAGTTCGGAACACTTACTACAATCTATGACACAAATTATTTATGCAGGATTACGTCTTCGTAAAGCTCCCATATAATGGTTTTCATTCGAGCGGTATTTTCCGAAGAAATTTTTTTGAAATCATTTAAGTTTCTTCCAAATGGTGGATGGTATAACAAGTTCAACCCGGCCGAACTTAGCTGCTTTTTTACATGTTTTTATTGCAACAAACCTTGTGTATTCGGTTATCTGAAATTGAATAGAGAAAACAATTCCAAAATAGTGGTTGCTAACAGCCCGTGTTCACTGTATATTTCAGAATTTGTTTAGAACATTTGTTGTTATTTTTATTATTTATGTTATACAAACAAGTTTGAAATATAGATGAGTATTGTTTTATTTTTATGCCTAACAACGGATGATAGTGTGCAGCCATACTTTCAATACAGATGCGGAGAATTGCATTTCGTAGAAAAAGTGTTTATGTTTTGTTATTATTTCTTAACCGTACTTAAAACAATATGGATTAAAGTAAATAATGGGGATTTTTTGGCGAACGTAAATCCCCTCTGTTTAAGACGAAACACTTGTGTAAATACAATATTTAACGCCGAAAACATAAAAGCAACTGGAAGAATGAGCCAGAACGCAATACTAAGTTAAAAAAAATATATAAGCAAATCACTCAATATTTTTGCATTGGGAATTTTCCAAACCCATTATTAGACTAGACGATTAAATTCAAGAATTTTCCATAATTACAGAAATAAGTTAGAAAACATTAAGTTCAGCCGGGCCGAACTTTTAATACCCTTCACCTTAGTGTAAAGGAAACATTTTTATATACAATTATCTGTATTCAAGCGTGTTTCACTATAAACTTCATATATTCATGTATCAAATTTCATTTCATGTCATTTTTAGCCTATGGCCACTTTATTAATTCAAGTCTTAATACTAACATAGGTTAAATGACCTTAACTAACTATGCATTTGTACAACGCCTACTTTACGTTAACAGAAAGTGTCACAACAAGTTTGTGATCACAACAAGCTACATTATGCCTTATGGCTAGAACTTAAATTATGCCCCGAAAAATAGAATAATATAAAAAAGGGCTATGAAAATCTTACGAACTAGATAGGAAAAATTAAAACTAAATATTTACAATACACTTAAAACTACTTAACCTAACTTAAGTGAGTTGGGCGGTGTTGTACACCAGTCTACTCCAGTCCGAGGATAAAAATCTTCTATGGTAGAATAGAAGACCTTCATCCCCGTGGAGTAAGCCCAGCTCGTTCAGCCTGTAAAGGGCGGCTGCAGCAGATGCTTCCGAGCTCGTAGCTGGTCCGCATCTTCTAAGCACCTCAACGATGCTATTGTCTATGAACTGGCATTTGTCGAAGAATGCCAGTCCAGTCTTAGTCATAAAGACATCTATTCCATCTATCTGCGCCCTATCGCAGATAGATCTGCAAGAACGGCTCCTATAGGACCCATCTGGCAATTGGAGGGGCCGGAGGCCCAGACAAGAGGAAAGTATTTTTCTTTCCCACAACCTTAGCCTTTCCATCTGATGTGACGAAATGTTAAACCAGACAGGGAAAGCATAGGCGACGATAGGTTTGATCACCTGCCGGTAGATCAAAAGCCTAACATCGTGGAAAAGAGATTCAAGATTCGACTATATCCGAAATATAGACCCTTAGCCCTAGTCAGGACGTAGTCTATATACCGAATATGGTCGAACCTCTCCTGAAATATAACACCTAAGTATTTCAACTCAGCTGAAACTGGAACCTGCTCAGAACCTATTCTAAGAACCGGCTGAAACCTTCTAAAATTAGGGTATACTATGCCTGGCCGACCAAGGAAGGCCGTAGCACAACATTTCACTACATTCAACTTTAGGCGCCATGTAACGAAGTACCGATGGAGGGCATCGAGGTACTCGTTAACGCGCCTATTAACCGACCTAGGAAGCGGACCGGAAAAGGCTAAAAGGACATCATCGGCATAGGTCAGGAGAAGACCACCAGGAGGAGGAGCCGGGATGTCACAAGAAAAGATGTTATATAACATCGGGCCAAGAAGCGAACCTTGAGGAACACTGCCAACACAGGGCGGCGACTAGAGAGTCCCTCACCCACTTTAATCCTGAAGAATCGATCCCTAAGAAAACTAGCGACCATTCTACAGAATTGTCTGTCAAAGCCAAACGATTGGAATCGAAAGCCCTGGCGATATCTAGGGAGTCGGCTATAATTCCGTGCTTCCTATCGAAGCCTTTCCCAACGAAGCTACTAAAAGCCGTTAAGGCATGGGTCGTGGAGAGACCAGACCTAAAACGAACCTGACAATCCCGTAGAATTCTCCTATCTTCTACGGTTCTTCTAATCCTTGCCAGAATAAAGGATTCGAGTAACTTTCCAAACGGCGATATGAGGGAAATAGGCCTGTAGTTACCACACTGAGAGGGATCAGAACCCCGCTTCAGTATGGGAACCATCTTGGCCTCCTTCCAAGCCGTAGGAAAGTACCCTAAATTCAGACAATGATTAAAGAGAATTGTCAAAAAGGACAGAATTACATTTCCTGCCCTTTTCAAAGCTACATCGGGAATTTGGTACATAACGCAGGATTTACGGGCTGGTCGGCGTGAAAGCGCAAAACCAACCTTCCTGGGATAGACAAACCCGCTATCTTCCCTGCACCTGGTCCGCCAACTCATGTATCAAACAAGTAGGCAAAAGCTATAGTCGTGCAGGGCCGACCATGTGATACCTTACAACACTACAAAATGTTAGAAGCCTCCTTATGTCCAAATCCACGCTTTCGCTTATGAAATTGTATCACTGATCACTGCCTAGATATCACCCTTAGCATTTTGACCAGGGACATTTGTCGTGCTGTTAGTTGTTGTTGTCCATTTTACAGTTAAATATAATTCAATGGTCATCCCGTCATATGGTCATATGGTACCTCCCCCACGAAAGGTCGAAATTTTGAATATCCATTGAGCTCATAAAACGCTAAATTAATATCCGATTCCATTTAGACTTGGCACATCTGAATATTTTTATTAACACAATATCTGTAAAAAAAAACAGTAGAGATCGGACCATTCCCTCTGGTACCGTCCCCACAAAGGGTCAAAGGTTTGAATAACGAAAACGTTTATAAAATCCAAAATAAGCCTCAAATTCTTTTTATATTTCACACATCCCATTATTTCCACTAACAAAAGATCTGATTTGAAGATGAGATATATCGGTCCACTCCTTCTCGTACCTCCAAAGGCTGAAAGGCTGAAAATTTTAAATAATCACGAAGCTCATAAAAATCGAAATTAACATCCAATTCCATTCATGACTTGGTATATCTCAATATTTCCATCAACTCAAGATCTGCTATAAAGTTGGTAAAGATCGGACCATTTCTTTTGCTACCTGCCCATAGGGTTCAAGAAAAACAAAACGATCAAAGAAAGCGAAATTAGCATTCAATACTCTTCAAATTTCACACATACAAACATTTTTGATAATACCCTATCTGCTGTGCAGATGATATGTATCTGTGAACTCCTTCTTGTATCCCACTCACAAAGGGTCACAATTTTTAATACTTTTATCTGTAATAACTTGCGAAACAAGTTAGCCATTCTTTACAACTTGCTATATCTAAATATATCTCTCTTTCGGAATCGGAACTCTTTTGTTATTTATGTACAAGTTAGTTTTAATAATACATAGCGATTAGTGATTAGGTGCTACACTGTAAAATATATATTTTTTAGAAATTACACTCAAATTATTTTTTTAACAAGAATACATATAAAATTAAAAACCCACAAATGTCCCCTCGAACAGACGAACGTTGTCGGCATTAATGATGGTGTAATAAAACGGATGATCGGCATTGAACATAATCGAGTGGATACCACCACCATCTCGTGTCGTTATTGTAAGTCCTGCAAATAAATAGAAAATATTGAATGATAACATATATTTCGAAAAAGAAAGATAGGTGCTTTAGGAGGTCTCTATATATTCGAATTCGAATTCAAGATACAGTTCTCTGTTGTATTGTCTACACGCTGTAACGTTTAGAAGGCTTCCTCAGGTACTATTTTAAGTTAAAATTAAATAGAACAGAACTTCGATGGGCCAAAAAAGAAAAGGCACATTTTTTTAAGTGCCGCACAATAGACGTTTTTTTGATGGCCACACATTAACTTCTGTTGTCAATTTTTAATAACATCATTCCTACAGCTACGAATCGCATACCATGTTATTTGATAGTGAAAAAATATTCCTCCTCGGAGTAACGGCGTTAGACTCTCGTTATCTCTCTCGTTTTTCTGAGTTTTTTTCTTTCCATGTATTTTTGTGAACAACATTTATTATCCGATTGAGATAAAATTTTCCAAACAATACTTGTTTGGCAAACGGACAAACCCTATTGAAGTTTTTGATAATCGGTTGAAATTTAGATATAGCTCCGGAAATATCTTAAACCGATTTCGGGATAATTTTGCACCAAATATCAGCTAAAAGGACCGGTATTTTTGGCACTTTCAACAAAATTTAGCCTAAAAGCAAGGCTGTTAAAATCGGTTCCGATATAGCTATAGCTATTAGGTATACGTTTCACCCGATTTGTTGTTAAAGTATTTCAAATGCGTAGTATGCACTCCACAACAATGATATTTGATATTGGGGATCAGATGCCCCTCGAAAATACCTCTGCCAAATTTTATCGAGATCGGTTCTGATTTTTTTATAGCTTCGATATACATCTTCATCCGATTTTACTGTTATTGCTCACCATATATATATGTAATATCAGCCCAAATTGAAAATATTTTTTATATTCAACCGAATTTTAACATTTGGTGAAACTGGGTCCGATATATCTATTGCTCCAATAAATATTTTTCAATATAATCCCCATTGAAGTCAAAGCATGCGCTATACAGCTATGTTATTTGGATCACAGTTAGTATGATCTACTTCATATAGACTCCCAATATAAACTTTGTTGTTACGGAAGAGTCAAGTTTGCTTGAAATCTCAAATGACATATTGTCAAATTTGTGCCAAAATGAGATCTGCTTCGAAAATGAAAAGTAGCTGTACGCAATTTTTGTACCCAAAACAAAAAGGTTTAACATTATGTGTAAACACCAAACCGTGAAATGTTTAAATAACATATGTTAATAAAAAAAAATTAAATAATACAATTAAAAAAAAAAAAACAGGATCAATCGAAAAAATGTTCATTTTCTTAAAAATGAAAAAGGCTATCCACAAACAAACAGTAGATTTCTCAAGATAAAAAAATAAAGGACCTGTATATCTTTCCAGGACATCGGATCCGAAAATGTTCTCTTTCGGATTATTTAGAAGCTCTTCCGTGTGAAATATTATTGTTTACCAAACAAGAAAGAAATAAATCAATAACTTTCTTGACACGAACATTGAAATTTTAAGAAATAAAATTCAAAGACATCGTGTACACAAATTGTGGATACAAAAAATATGAGCACCACCTGAAAAAATATAGGGGATTAAAAAAAAAAACAAGTAAAAAATACCCTCCACTATTTGGAACGAATTTGGCAATTTTCAACAAAATAAAATCCATTAAAAATTCTGTTAAAATCTTAAAAATACACGAATCTACAAGTCTCAAGTAAACGACGACGTGGTCCTGCATAGGCAACTTTGTCATAAGCTATTACAATATTCAAATGCGAAACTTGAAAAAAATCGGTCAACAATGTAGCTAAAATCACCAATATAGGGAGGTACTATTATATGGTGGCTATACCAAAATGTAGACCTGCACAGACCATTTTCTGCCTTAGTCTGTAGTACCCATTACGAACTTAAAATACCAAATTTGAAACAATTCCGGTGAATAATATCGTTAAAATCATAAAACTACCGAATAACGGGAGGTACCGTTATATGGGGGCCTTACGAAGACGTGGACCTGCAGAGACAATCTGCTGTCATATGCTGTAGTATCCATTACGAACTTCAACTACCAAATTTTAAACATTTCCAGTGAGTAATGTTGCTAAAATCAACAAAGTACCGAATATCGGGAGGTACTGGTATGTGGGGCTATACGAAGCCGTAGACCCACACAGACAATATTCTGTCATAGGCCGAGTACCCATTACGAACTTCAAATACCAAATTTGAAACGATTCCGGTGAATAATGTCGCTAAAATCATCAAAATACAGAATATCCGCCGGTACCGTTATGTGGAGAAATACCAAAACGTGGACCTACATGAGCCATTTTCAATATCAGGAATGACAAACTTAATATATCCTTCATACTATGGTGGAAGATACGCAAACATATGGGCCACAGAACTTGGACATTCCAACATGACTCACACTATCGCACTCAGCACGTGACAGCCAATAATGGTTACCAAATGAGATTCCTCGCTTCATTTCCAGCGCACTATGGCCACCAAAATCGGGAGTATTTTGGAATGCAATGTTGACACTAAAAAATACCAAAGTGTCGATCACCTCAAGCAAGCACTTTGCCGGAAATGGGCCATAATACCGCAGAGCAACATTCGTAGCGTAGCCCGACTTCAAGGAAGTGGACGGAAGAAAACAGCAACATCAGCAGAAATGGTTCGAAAGTAAAGTGACAGTAGCCCAAAAATGACTTGTGACCTTAACATATCGCAATATTCAATTCGACAAATATTGAAAAATGAGCTCCGGGTAAAACTATTGATATTCCAAAAAGAATTTTGGAATTGATATTCCAAAGAAAATTTAAATAACCTTAGGGAGGCCATTTGTGAAAAAGAATCGCTAAAGTTCTTGGTGTGTATATCTTGCAGAAATACCTTCGAGGAAGTCTGGTATTAAATGTAAAGCTTTGCGGAGATATTCTCCTTCAATTCGTGTTCACTTCTTTGAAATTTACTCACCCGTTGCAGCCGCAGCTTCTGTTCCCTTTTCATCGACTTCGATGAATGCCTTGTGAATTACGTTCGATATCTGCATTGGTTCGGCTGAGTCTAACATTCGTCCGAATTCTCCAGAATTAAACATTTTGTTCATGCCAAGCTGAGAATAATAATAAAAAATGTTAAATATATAAGTATAAATAAAAACCAATAATATTTTGCAAAAATCAACTCCTTTATAAAATCAAATTTCCAACTCACCTTCATAAGAACATCCTTTAACTCCACCTCGAATTCTGTCTTAAATTTCGGCAAATAAATATGAACATAGGTGCGGTCCATCATTTGATTGGTAATATTTTCAAAGGGAATGTGTTTAAGTCTCTCTTGCAAATCAGCCAAACCATCCATGGAATCGGGTAGGAGGATAAGCATAGAAAGATCTGAGTTTTTATAAGGTAAACGCAAGGCTGTCATATTCAACTCCGGGAATATATTATAATATGAAAGTTCTCTCTTATACATCATAGGAATTTTTAAGGCCTTGTTAGACCTATTCAAGAAAAAATCTTGAGGACTCGTTGCCTCCTTGTGGAACTCTGATTCCCATTCACCCTTAAAGTGTATGGCACTTAGCAAAAATATTCTCATATCCGAGTTTAACATCTGGGGAGAGACCATATTTCGAATTGCCCCACCCGTGCTATGCTCCACCCACTTGTTTATGGCAGAGGCAGCAAATTCACCTTTCGTAAAATCCATGTTTTCCACGGAAGCAAGGAAATTCTGGATCAATGTTTTGTTAAAATCCTCTTTCACTTTGTAATTTTCCATGACATAGATTTTATTGGCCACATTGAGTACTGAGTTATTTGCATATTTTTCCAACAGTTCATGATACTTATCAGCTACACTTCCCAAGTATTTTCCCACAGTATTTAAATTGGCATCCATTTCCACGGAGGTCTGACCCTCCGCCCCCATACGGGTCATTGTGAGACAAGTTTGTATCGAGAACGGTGAAAAGAAAATACTTTTTCCGGGATTTCCAGTGGCCAGTTCACCATAAAGTTTTCCACCAAACACATACAAACTGTTGAGAAAATCTGCCCGGGTAAATTCCTGTTTCACATCGTTGACATGTACAAAATTATCCGAGGAATTCGATGCTTTCGCGTGGGAACGTATGGTCAATAGAATGGGTACAGTTATTACCACAGCTATTGCAAGTAAACTTAAAGTTACCGTTATTGTGATGCACAGGCACGACATCTTGCCTGACTTTCCAAAAGCGTTTTGGCAAGCAAAGTTCGAGACGTTGCAAATTGCAATGTTTCGAAATATTTAATTTTTTCTCTTCTTTTAAAATGTGTGGTAATTAATCTTCCACCTGTCCAAAAGACTGAAACACTGAAAAGTAATTACGCCTTATTTTCTTGAAATCGCAAAAAAAAAGCTGTGTGTTTTCCCAATGTATGACTGACTATTGACTTCTTCTTTGGGATTTCTTGACAAAATTACTGTGTTGATGAGAGAAATTTGCAAAAGGTAAGTCGGCAATTTAAAACGACACTTTGCCTTTAACAATTGTTCAAACAATACCAGTATTAAGGTAAATAAATTGCTGAAGTTGAGACATTAAATTTCCGAAGCAAAATTTAATTATTTATATAACGTCTCACTTCATCAGCAAATGATCAGCAAGAGATCCCCCACTTCGTATACAGGTGACCTAATAGGTCCAAATTTCGAATCATATGTTAGCTTAGCTTTCATTGTCAACTCGTTCTAGAATTGTTGCGGAAATTAAAGCGACGCGTTTGAGAGCATATGCCCATTTTACAAACATATACACATATGCGTATTTATTTTCTGTCTATGACTAATTTTTGATACCAAAGAAAGTTTAAGTTGAGTTTAGGATACATGACTACTTTAGTTTAAGATCACCCAAGGCTGACTCTTATCCAATTTTTTTTTTTTATTTAAGTGCAAAATCCCAGAAATCTCATCTCATCTCAACCCCTGCATCAAGAAAGGCCCCAATTCAAAATTGCAACGTACCACGATCGCACAGTATTAACTATATAAGAATTTGAGCCTTTTTGTACACCTCGTACATTCTTTAAAAACATACGTTTATTAATCTGATGGTCCTTGAAGATATATTCTTTAATATTTACACGTTTATTGTCCTGGTGGTCCTTGATAAGTTTTAAAGAATCTACGTTTATTAATCTGATGGCCCTGAGAGTTTTTTCTTAAAAAAATCCCCGTCCGTAAAGAAAAATTCTCTAAAAGAGAATTTATTAATCAGATGGTTCTTGAAGAGATATTCTTTAAAAAATCCAGGATCTGCTGGTCCTTGAAAATTATTCCTTGAAAAATCCACGTTTATTGATCTAATGGTCTGTGAACAGATATTCTTTAAAAAGTCCGCATTTATTGAACTGATGGTCCTTGAAGATATATTTTTAAAAAATTTTATTTATTCTTGAAGAGAATTTATTATTCTTGAAGAGATATTCTTTAAAAAATCGGGAGTATTGATCTGATGGTTCTTGAAAATTATTCTATGAAAAATCCACGCTTATTGATCCGATGCCGCTTGAAGAAGAAGATGCCGCTTGAAAATTCTTTCAAAATCCACGTTTATTGATATATTTATTGATATGAAAATCTACATTTATTGATCTGATGGTCCTTGAAGAGATATTCTTTACAAAATCTACATTTATTGATCTGACGGTCCTTGAAGAGATATTCTTTACAAAATCCACGTTTATGGAGCTGATGATCCTTGAAAAGATATTCCATAAAAAATCCAAGTTTATTGATCTGAAAGACCTTGAAGATATAGTCTTTAAAAAATCCACGTTTATTGATCTGAAAGTCCTTGAAGAGATATTTTTTAAAAAATCCAGGTTTTTTAATCTGATTGTTCTTTAAGGGGCATTTCTTAAAAGTACTGGTTTTTCAAACTGATAGTCCTTGGAGAGATGTTCTTTAAAAAATTCACGTTTATTGATTTGTTGGTGTTTGAAGAAATTTTTTTTTAACCCACGTACCTGGAGAGTTTTGACCTGTAAGAGCTCTTCAATGGTTGGAAGACTTGTGACAGCTTTTCTATAGATAAAGTGAAAGGTCTCTAATAGTCCTACTATAATTCTAAAAATCATTTTCTCTCTACATCTACAATTTTTGCACCGAGAGCGACTACAATTTCCCATTCGCTAAGTACAAATGTCGTACGTATATATTAAAAAATAAACCTACCCACAAGGGAAGATCACAAGGTATTCTCATAGAAGATCGAAAGGTTTTCCCATAAAAGAGCAGAAGAAGTTCTTCTAATAGAAAGCCAGAAGGCCTTCTCCTAGAAGGTCAGAAGATCTTCAAATAGCAGACCAAAAGGTCTATTCATAGAAGTGCACAAGGTCTTTCGAACAAAAAAATATCAAGAAGACCAGAAAGTCTTCTCATATACAACCAAAAGATCTTCTCATAGAAGACCAAAATATCTTCTCATAGAAGACCAAAACGTCTTCTCATAGAAGACCAAAATCTCTTCTCACTGAAGACCACAAGAACATCTCATAAAAGACCACAAGATCTTCTCATAGAAGACCACAAGGTATGCACACAGGAGACCATAAGGTCTTCTCATAGAAGACCACAAGTTCTTCTCATAGAAGACCACAAGGTATTCACATAGGAGCCCATAAGGTCTTCTCACAGAAGACCAGAAGGTCTTCTCACAGAAGACCAGAAGGTCTTCTCAAAGAAGACCAGAAGGTCTTCTCACAGAAGACCAGAAGGCCTTCTCCCAGAAGACCACAAGGTATGCACATAGGAGCCCATAAGGTCTTCTCACAGAAGACCAGAAGGTCTTCTCACAGAAGACTAGAAGGTCTTCCCACAGAAGACCAGAAGGTCTTCTCACAGAAGACCAGAAGGTCTTCTCACAGAAGACCAGAAGGTCTTCTCACAGAAGACCAGAAGGTCTTCTCACAGAAGACCAGAAGGTCTTCTCATAGAAGACCAGAAGGTCTTCTCATAGAAGACCAGAAGGTCTTCTCATAGAAGACCAGAAGGTCTTCTCATAGAAGACCAGAAGGTCTTCTGATAGAAGACCAGAAGGTCTTCTCATAGAAGACTACAAGGTCTTCTCGAAGACACCAGAAGGTCTTTTGGTAGAAGACCAGAAAGAATTCTAATAGAAGACCTGAAGGTCTTCCTATAGAAGGCCAGGAGGTCTTCTCATAGAAGACCTGAAGGTCTTCCTATAGAGGGCCAGGAGGTCTTCTCATAGAAAACCTGAATGTCTTCCTATAGAAGGCCAGGAGGTCTTCCTATAGAAGGCCAGAAGTTCTTCTCCTAGAAGCCAGAAGGACTTCTCATGAAAGGAACAAAGCTTCTTCTCCTAAGAGAAAAACGACAGTTCTGCTCCTAGAAGAGCAGAAATTCTGCTCAAAGATGTCTTCGAGGTCGAAGAATAGAATCCTGGAATTTCTTCCATTCGAAGCCTAGATGATGTTGACTACGTATTCTGGCTTGATTGACTTAGATACATGCTAATGTGAATACAAATAAATTAATTTTTTTAATGTTCCATATTTTTATTTTTTTTATTTTTTTTTTCCTAAAAGTTCGCTTGTGATCCTTGGAAGAATATTATGCCGTCCGAGTTTACAATCATATAGAAAAATCCATGGTCAACAATAAATCTTTGAATAATTTCAGGAGCTGCAGCACGCATCATACCAAGACCGATTACGCCTGGAGTAAGAAAAAAATGGACCCAATATTCAATCACATTTATATAGGAGATATCTTGGCTCTTTTAGTTCCATCTCAACTTTTAGCTCCATATCACTTACCTGTTGCGGCTGCAGCTTCGGTACCCTTTTCATTGACTTCAATAAATGCCTTGTGGATGATTTTTGACACTTCAAAGTTTTCGGGTGATTTCAGTATTTTTCCAAATTCTGCATCCCTGGAAAACATACGTTCCATGCCTAGCTGTAAGAATTCCGCACTCAATTTAATTGAAATGTATGTATATTCTGCCGAAATCGTACAGAACCGTTATAACAGCGAAATTCAAAAATTCCGAATTCGCTTCAAACCCATGCAAGCTATAAAGACTTTAGTAGAGTAAAAAATTGGAACTTTTGAATTTCGTCGTTATAATTATATGTTATAAACAACGTAATTTTAAATATTTTCGACTGATTTCACATATTTACCCTTTTCAAAACGTCACTCAATTCAATTTCGTATTCAGTTTTAAACTTTGGCATTTCCACCATTACCGTGGTTGAAAACATTTCCTCTCTCAGTTCTTTCAAAGAAAACGTTTTCAATTTGCTTCTCAATTCACCCAAACCTGTACGAGAATTTGGCAAAATTACTATCATCGAAAGATCTGAGTTCTTGTAGGGCATTTGCAAAACCGTGGCATCCAATTTGGATATGTCTCCAAAGTAAAACCTTCCCTTCAGATGCATCATATCCACATTAACGCTGTTCGCCTCGTCCACATAGAATTTTTGTTGCCTGGTGGCATGTTCGGGAAAAGCTTGGGCCCATTCTCCCTTGAAATAAATTGCATTCAACAGCACCATGCGGGTCTTTTCATTCAAGTCCTTGGCCGTGATGAGGTTCTTAATTAAATTATTCGTTCTCTGTGCCACCCATGAGTTCATTGTCCGTGCTGCCATAATATTTTGTGTAAAATTCAAGTTTTCCGCCGATGTTAAAAATTTGTTCGCCAACAAGTTATTCAATGTCTCCTGGACCTCAAAATCTTCCATAATGTACATTTTATTGGCCATCTGCAGAATATTACTATTTTCGTATTTTGAGAGGATTTTGTGAAAGTTGTTGACTAAATCCTGCTGATTGTTAAATTTCATATTTAAGCCAGTGTCGATTTCAGCCGCTGTTGGACCTTCAGCACCCATGCGAACCATAGCCAGACAGGTCTCAATTGAGAAGGGAGAAAATATGATGTTTTTATCAGTTCCTATCTTTGCCAATTTTGAGTACAGCTTGGCGCCAAAGTTTTCCAAAGCTTTGAAGAAATTAACATTTGAGGTAGAATCATTGGGGGTGGTAGTTGGGCTAGCCAAGGTGATGGTTATTATCAAAGCGAAAATGACTACCCTTAAGGTAGTACTAACTGAAATGGGAATAATAGAGCAAATAGAGTTAGGTTTTAGAAGAGAATAGTCTTATCTTTCTTAGTCCGGGAGTTTATTTGGTATTATACCCCCAGCCATATGGCTTCAGAGGGTATATATTATTTGATACAGCCAAAACGTGCCTCATCAAAAAAAAAAAAAAAAAAAAAAAAAAAGGTTTTATACCTTAGATCTCTTTGGACAAAATACGTTTCAGGACATTTGGAGTTGATCTAGCGATGTCCGTCTGATAACTTCCGAAGGGAGTATCCGACTTGGTAAAAACTACATCGTAATATTTTTGTCAAACTTAGATCGAGTTCGGAGATGGGCAGTATCGTTCCACTTCATCTGGTACCTCCCACACAAAAGGCCGACATTTTCAAAGAAAATAATTTTCTGCACAGAGAGAGCAAGGATAATCCGATTTTGCTCCAACTTTGCAAATCCTAATATTTGCATCAGTTCTAGGTCAGGTGCGAAAATAGACATTATGGGGAAACCACTCCTTTTGTTTTCATTCATTTTAATAAAAATGTCAATATTATTTTTGTAAATATACACACCCACCAATACTTACCGCTCATATTGGACGATACTAAATCAATTTGTTGGTTATTTACAAATAAATATAATACGACTTAGATTCAAGCTTATCAGCACCACTCAGACCGAATAAGTAATTTTTAGTTTACAATGATCTGATCTGGCAGTGAGCCAGACGCGCAGACTGCTGAAGTAACGAAACCAAAATAATGAACAAATAAACAGATGCTTCATGACATCGGTACTTCACATTTAATTCATTATCACATTTTTAAGATGAAATTTTCTGTGAAAAGTCTTCAGAACACAAAATAAACACAACAAGGTTATCAACAAAAAATATTTTCAAACTAAAAAGATTTGTGTATTTTATTAATTGAAGATTTATGAAAATAATTTTGACAATCTTTTGTTTGTGTTGTGTTTTTGCATCTAATAGTGTCCAAGTAAAACGAGTGCATTGCTGCAAGACAGTAAATACTACAGCTATTTTCTCTGAAATATACTGAACTTACAGGGAACTATTTTATGTGGAACTTTTCTCCCTCTGAACACTACAAAAATATCCAAAGGCAGACAACTCCCTTCGAAAATTCACTGGAGTATTTAAAAGAAGTTTAAATCTGCCAAAATCGTTCTATCACACTTATACAGGGTGAGATAAAAAAAACTGCATCAAAGTCAAACGCCATAATTTTTACATTTTTATACCCTACAACACTATGTGTTGGGGGTATTATAAGTTTGATTGGGCCAAAAATTATGTAACACCACGAAATATTGATTTCCCACATAGGAAAGTATATATGGATCTTCCTATCTCGCCGAGCTGAGTCGATCTAGCTATGTATGTCCGTCCGTCGTTCCGTCTGTCCTCCTGTCCATGTTAATTTGTAATCACTCTACAGATCGCAATTATTGTCCGATCCTCACGAAATTAAAAATGGGGGTGGGGTTATGGAATAGAACCCTATTTCTTTTGGTGATGATCGCATAATATTTAGGGGTTGAAATGGACCAAAAACTGAAAAATTTCCTGATTTTGTAGTTGATCTACAGGTCACCATTATAGATAAATCGAAGCGAAAGTTAGAATGGGGCTAGAGCTTTGGGCTGGACAGAAGCCTTCCAATTTTGAAGGTCATCGGGTAACATTTAGTGGTTGAAATAGACCATAGCAATTGTGTTAAATAAAAGTCAAATTTTCCATTAAACCGCGAATATTTTTAATGCCGGCGAAATCACAAATAGACGAACAGGTCAATTCTGACCGTTACGTAGATGCCGATAGTAAAAATATCGGATATATATAGCGAAAAAATGTATATATACAAAGGAAGGGGATGTTAGCTAGAATGCTTATATCTCCAGAATGGCTGGAGGGATTTTCAGAAATTTTGTCAATTCAGAATGCCCTCTTTGCATAAAAGTATAAAATCTAAAAAAATCGCATAAAAAGATATCAATAATGATATAGATTTTGTAGTATTTTGTGACATTTTTTACATTTTTTTCATATTTTTTATCGCATGCGATTTTTTCAATTTGACTTATAATATTCAAGTGTATATTTTGTAATGTTTTTTCACCTTACAACACAGGTTGGGGTTATTATATACAGATTGCAATTATCGTCCGATTCTCACGAAAATTGTCATAAGGGTAGTTTTAGGCTCAGAAGGGCTAGGCCCACTGTGTTCAAAGACGCCCGCAATATATTAAGGATTTAAATGGACCAACAACTAAAATTTTTTCTGATTTTGCAGCCGTTATAAAGGTCACAAATAGAAACCAAAGGTCACGAAATCTCGCATGAAGTTACAGTTTAGGACAGCAGGTAGAATGGACCACTACTTTTTTGAGAAAAAAAAAAAAACAAAAATTGACATTTTACTGAAACGTTGAAAATAACTTACAGACGATATCCAAAATACACAAAAAGGGCGAACTATTGGCTTTTTGTGCTGATTTCGTTGTCGAATATAGCCAAATATCATAGACAAGCAAATCACATAGATGGGTCTAATTTCAGAGATACAGAGGGGCCTCTTGCTTTTGGAGATGATCGAAAGATGTACCAAAAACAGAAAAATTTTCCTTATCACACAATTGAAACCAATTTTGCATGAGAAGAGAGTAAAGGAAAGGGAAGAAGTTTGGATGACCATCGCATTATATTTATCTGTAACTAACAGGACGACGGTTTGCGTAAGTATTAGGCAAATGTCCCTAGTCAAAAAGGTCTATGACACAATTTCAAAAGCGAAATCTTCCAAAATGGATTTGGACATAAGGGGACTTCTACCATTATGTAGTGTTGTAGGGTATCACATGGTCGGCCCCGCACGATTATAGCCTTTGCTTACTTGTTTTTTTGTTTTTTTTTTTTAATTTTATTAGCAAAGCAAAAAATGTCGGAAATATCATCAAATTTTAAAATATGTTTAGATTTGTTTGAATTGGTCACCTTTGGCACGAATTATGACCTTCAAACGGTCAATTAAACCGTCACACCCTGCCCGAATGTTGCTCTGCGGTATTTTGGCCCAGTCCCGGCGAAGCGCTTGCTTGAGGTGATCGACACTTTGGTATTTTTTAGTGCCAACGTTGCTCTCCAAAATACTGCAGACACAATAGTCCAACGGATTGGCATCCGGAAATTTTGGTGGCCATTGTGCAGGAGAAATTAAGCGAGGAACCTCATTTTGTATCCATTCTTCAGCGCGTGCTGAGTGCGATGGTGCTGAATCCTGTTGGAATGTCCAAGGTCTGCGGCCAAAATGTTTGCGTGCCCAAGTCTTTAAGACACCCTCCAGAATATTTTTTTCGGCATTTATTCAGATGCCACGGTCGATTAATACGAGCGGAGAGCGACCATCGGCTGTTATGGCGGTCCACACCATCACCATGGGCAGCGCTTGAGTTCTGGTGGCCAACCGAAGGTGCTCATTTTCAGCTAACTTCTTTGGCAAGTAAATACAATCATTTTGTTTATTTTTAAACTGCTGGACAGCGAATGTTTTTTCATCATCGGAGAAAACCAAATTCGGCAGTTCACCACTTTCGGCCAAGCGAAGCAACTCTTTAAATCTTTTGATTCTGTTTTCATTCTGTTGCGGTTGAAGTTCTTGCACTTTTGGAATTTCAATGGTTTTACTCAGAGCTCATTTTTTAATATTTGTCAAATGGAATATTGCGATATGTTCAGCTCACGAGTGATTTTTCGGTCACTGCGACGCGGGTTTCGATCAAGTCGCTTCTTTACTTTTCGAACCATTTCTTCTGATGTTGCTGTTTTCTTCCGTCCACTTCCTTGACGTCGGGCTACGCTGCCAGTATCACGGTAACGAGCGGTGGTACGAGACACAAAAGATTTGTTCACACTTATATGCTGGAGTGCTCTAACGCTAGCCACTTGCCACACTATCGCGCTTGAACTCCATCATAAATAATTTTTTTTTTGGAAAATTCTCACCAAAATGGTTTTGTACGCTTGTAAAAAATGTCACTGGAAAAATTTTAAGAGCTGTCGGACGAGTGGCTTGAATATGGCAGCAGTCTGAAGTTGGTTGCAGTTTTTTGATCTCACCCTATATAACCCACAAAGAAATAGTCGTATTGAAAGGATGTATCAAACACAGCGCACTGCAGAACTTTTAAAAATTACACCATTGGGTTTTTATATAAAAGCATCGGAATTCAAGTGTGTTCCACTTTAAACTAGAAGTACAAGTAAGGCCGTTTGGATAATGCAGTTAAACTTTCCCAAAAGTCATAATATGAGTGAGGCCGTTAAATGGGAGAGGGGGGGGGGGGTCATATCCAAACTGCAACCTATATATATCACTTTATACTACTAGAATTGTCATCTAAATTTGAAGTATTATCAAAATACCGAACATCGGTGAATACTGTAAAATGTGTGCTATAGGAAAGCATGGACCTACATATTCAATGTTTCGCCGTCGGAGCTAGAACCCATTTTGAGCTACAAATACCAATTTTTAAGAAAAATACGTAAAAAAAAATGTGGGGAAAATCATCAAAATACCGAATTTTGGGAGGTACCGTTATGACGGCTATACCAAAACACAATACAAGTTGTTGTGCCAAATTTTGGAGCTCTTCGTCAAATGATGTGGGCTGTATCGTGTTTTCCAACAGACAAACTGACTCAGAATTTTATGCTGATCATGAATATATATACTTTATAGGGTCTACGACGAATATTTAGGTGTCTACGACACCTCTTTCAAGGTGGAGGGTATAAAACCGCAGTTTTGCCGAGTCAAACTTTTTGTAGACGGTACCATCAAGGAAATACCCTTCACAAATATGGTAAAGGGAGTAATGGGAGCACAGGAAACCCTTAATTTGACCTTTTTATTTTGCAACAGGAAGTGGAAATCACTCTATCTTCCGAACGAAATGAAGTAGATTGATAAAATTTTACTCAAATGCATATTATGTCTGCAGGACTTTTTGGTACTGAAAATGGGCCAAGTAGGTCCACGTTTTCGTATAGGTCCCATATAATGGTACCTTCCTTTATTCGATATTTTGGAGATTTTAACGACATTATTCATCGGAATTATTTCAAATTTAGTATTTGAAATTCGTAATGGGTGCTACAGCCCATGACAGAAAATTGTCTGTGCAGGTCCACGTCTTCGTATAGCCTCCATATAACGGTACCTCCCGATATTCGATATTTTGATGATTTTAGCGACATTATTCACCGAAATTTTATCAAATATAAGGGTACTCTCCTATATTCGGTATTTTGATGACTTTAGCTGCATTATTCACCGAATTTTTTATTCAAGTCTCGCATTTGAGTGTTGTAATGGTTCATGACAATAGTTACCACATCGTCGTATAGACCCTTATACAATGGCTACATTCGGTATTTTTAAAATTTAACAAAATTTTTAAGGGTTTTTTTTTTGAAAAACCGAACCGAACCAACCGAACTTACTGCTTTTTTATTTTTTTTTTTATACCCTACACCACAAGGTGGTCAGGGTATTATGTCTTTGTGCATTTGTTTGTAACAGGCAGAAGGAAACGAGATAGACCCATAGTTCCTTTTGATGATCTGCATAGAATCACATTCTGAGTCGATTTATGCATGTCCGTCCGTCTGTCCATGTATTTTTGTAAACAAAGTACAGGTCGCATTTATTGCCCGATCCAGAT